TCTCTCTCTCTCTCTCTCTCTCTCTCTCTCTCTCTCTCTCTCTCTCTCTCTCTCTCTCTTGGAAATTACAGATATGCATTCCCATACAGCACCAGGCTCCGCAGCCAGGAGGCCTCTCTCCATAGCTGGGAAGCTCCCAGCTCCTCCTTACCATCACGTTTCCTCAACCCCAGGCCGCGAACTTACCCAGCAGCCAGCTCTCTTGCAAGTTACTGAAACCGGCATCACGTGGCAGCACTAACTTTCTGCTCACTTGCTTCATGTCTTTGGGGATCTCGACATTTATAGGCTGGCGTGGGGAGTCTCTCCCTCTGTTTCTCCGTTTCACAGAGAGTATTTCTAGGCTACAACTCCTCTAGAGTTCGGTCGGATTCAGCAGAGGTGCAGGCTAGCAAGGAGGCAGATGGAGGTAGAGGAGATATGCTTCGTAGCGAGAAATTGTGCAGTATTGTTGCCAGTGCATTTCAGTTTCATGAGCAACAGAGACTGCTTGGCTGTTTTGCAGTACTGCTTCGTCGTCTTCCGTACAGCAGTTGCCTATGTACCCCTCTGTTGCATTGTTACCTCGAAGGGGAAGCACGGATATGGCTCTGGAGTTAGGGTTGACGACTTTCCGCTAATAAGTGTCTGCTTACCTGACCTCTTTCATCAGAAAAGGCTTCGCTAAGGCAATGTGAAGAGAACCAATACGTCATGTATTAGCTGCCAATATTACAATCCACTGAATCCAGCCTTTTTCCACAACTACTCCAGGTTGAATCATTACTCAAATGCATCGGCCACAGGCACAAAGCACTTGTGTACTATCTTTAAACAGCTATGGAGACTGCATGCTTCAGACAGTCGCACCGATGCGTGTGTAACACTCAAAATCCACCCAAACGCTCTCACATGAGAGTTTCAAACATGGTGCTCCCAGGAACCGAAATCCACAACCCGTACTCATTTTGTGTCGACGTATCATCCCCTTTTCGCTTTTAAAGATGGTGTCGCTGCGTACCATTCCATCCAAGAGGACATGACCTGATTATTAATGGATGGTTCTGAGAATGCGCCATTCAGCCACTGGGCAAGCACACCAAATGGATTCCTTCCCCCTTCCTTGATTCCGAGTCTGGTTATCACCCAACCATACAAAAGAGCTCACACCGTTGGTTGCCACTCCTCGACATGATAGTACACAGGCACACTGGATGTTGATACAGTTGTACAAACATCACATGAACTGAGACTGCTTTGATGGCCATTGCAATGGTCATTCCAAGCTTGAGGTAAATCGGAGCATCTTTTGGGATTCCAAGCTTGAGGTAAACCGACCACAGGAGAAGAAGTTACAGCTTGCTCTCGGTGAGGTGGCCCGAATTGTTGAGCTGCCAGAATGGCTTCCATCGCTGAAGCTGTTTGAATGAGGACGACTTTCATAAACGCACGTACACCCCTGCAACGACTGTCTCAATTCAACTCATCCAAAAGCACATGAACTAAGACTGGTTTGATGGCCATTTCAATGGTCATTCCAACCCTGAAGTCACAAGAACAGAACTTACAACTTGGTCTCGGCGAGGTGGCCTAAATGGTTGAGCTCCCAGGATGGCCTCCTTCGCTGAAGCTGTTTGAATGAGGCCAGCTTCCATTAACGCACATACAACCCTGAAACGGCTGTCGCGATTCAACTCATCCATATTGTAACCATGAACTGGAAAGAGCTTTCTTGGGGGTGGCTTGTCTCCCATCCACCCTTCTGCTTTATTAGATTCAGTCGGCTGCAGCAACCTGTTGGGATCCTGAGTGGCATGGACTGCCACTTTTGCTCGAAGTCGGGACATCAGCTCCTCTCTCCACTCCCTTTCTAACCGTGCTTTTTCTTCAGCTGCCTTAGCCAATTGCTTACGCTCCTTCTCTCTTTCCCTCCGGAACTCCACCCGTTCTGCTCCAATGGCTGCTGCTTTCTTGGCAGCCATTGCCGCCACCTCCATCATCTGCCTCCTTTCTTCGTCCATGACCTTCAGAGAAGCTGTGACATCTTCCCTGTGTCGTTCGATCATCTCTTTTGCTCGACATCTTTCATTCTCTTCTCTCTCCTCCTCTTGTGCATGTCGCACCAGATCCTTCTTCCTCTCGACTGCCTTCTCTGCTGCCTCTTGTTCCAGACTCACAAACCGCTTCCCAATGAAGTTTGCAACTCGAACCTTAGACATCTGATGCAAATAATCCCTTTGGGCAGAGGTGACGGCTTCCCTGGCCCGCATCCCCCCCATGACCAATTGCTCCTCCTCGTGTAGTATGCTTGCAAATCGACGGACAAGATTGTCCCTCTCCGAACCCCACCGTTGGCAGATTGCTCGCCTGGTGATTGAACGAAAATGGTGCCTCTGATACCACTCCTCGTGAGCTGCTACATCAGCAAGCTTCTGGCTGTGCTGACCCGGAGGAAGAGCATCAGCCACTGCTCTGATAAGCTGTTGCTTCCCGCAGTGGCCAGCACCGGCTTTACCCTGACCACGCATTCCAATCTTACCGGAATGCTCAAGTAGAAGCAGCTGCTGCAGCTGCTGTTTGCGTACAGCAAGAAAGACCGCATGCTCCTCAGGACTCCACCTGTCTTTCACGCTGCCACACGCAGGAGCACAGGTACCCCGCAACCCTATGCCATCACCATTGAGCCCCACTTTAGCAAATTCATGTGGAATGTGGGCAACACAACCTCCCATTACAGTTGTCTCCTCACATGACACATCATCAGCATGCTGCTGAAGACAAGAAGCCGTTAACTCTTTCTCCTCTCTAACCACCTCGCTGAAACAACCACCAGCAGCGGCAAGGTTGTCTTGACGAACCCTATTGCACTTCCTTAATTGTGATATAAACTTCTTGTCCAAGAGTTGAAAGCCCATCTCCATCTTCTTCATGATTTGGCTCCCTGCTGCCCATGGATATGCTGCTAGTAGCTCATCCACAGAAGATTTCCAATGCCGTACAGCACCATGCACACTGTCAGATGACCAGCAGTCTCGATCATTATTGCTACCCACTACTTTACCTCCCCTAGGAGTGGAGTAGGAGGAGGAGGAGGAGGAGGAGTTGCTGGGAGCATGGAGATTCTTGGGTAGATTGGTAGGACCCTTCATGTCTGCTCCACCCAGATTGAGTGGCAGGAATGAGGAGCACAGTGTTCGGATCTCCCGAGATAGAACATCTATTTGATCATCAAATGCTCTAATGGCTTCTTCCCACTCCGCTGCCATTGACGAGAGTACCAATCCCAACGCTTTCCCTGCCCTTGGCCTGTTATGCGATTCCTGCTTGTGCTCATCTCCTCCAGGCGTCAACTCTAACATCTCCTGGTCTTGTTCTTGGCAGTCACCTCCTGCTTCGTCTCCTCCTCCTCCTCCTCCTCCTCCTCCTCCTTCATCGACCTTATCCCAGATGCATACTGCACCCGCGCTGTCACTTTCGGTGTGGACCGTTTCACCCTTCACCATCTTCCTCATCTTTTGGTTGCAGTTAGCTAGCACCCTTCTTTGCTTTCGTACAGATGACTCACTTTCATCGAGTGCATCTAAAATTTCCTTTAGCAATAGCCAGTATTCTTTATCCTTATGAGGGACACGATCATGGGCATGTTTTTTCCCCTTCTCCTGGAAATCATCCAGCATGTCTTCCACTGCATGGCGTAGAACCTGCTCCGCCTCACTCCTGTCCTGGAGGAGCTGTTGATGGACAATCAACCAGCTCTGTTTTGCACTTCTCAGATGCATGGCCTTCTTCTGCTGCTTGACAAAGTTTTTGATTTCCCTTGCCTTGGCCAACACGGAATCGTCATCGGCACCAGGGTGTGGGGCAGCATGTTGGCTGCTAGTTCGTGTACTGAATGTAGACTGAGAAACAGAGGTGAAGGGCCCAGCTTTTCTCAACTCTGTCTTTTGCCTCTTCTGTGAAACTTGTGGTTCAGCCTCACTTGAAGTCGCCATCCTTGGATGTGTTGGGATGTGCCTTCCTGTTCTTGCCAATCTCTCTAAAGTGGCTGACAGCTTAGCAGAATCTTTTGAATGAAGACTTTCAATGGACACCTCACACTTACTTTTGAATGTGCTATGATATTAAACCACCACTACCTTTCCCAGGCAACGTCAAGAGTCAAAAATGTAACATTCCGGGTTTGTCGGAGGCTTAGGGCTATCGGACCCCGACGGCTGGCGGCTCCAGCAAAAAAAAAAAAAAATCGCCGCGCTGGGGCTTCAGCAAAGCTTGGCGCGCAGGAAGAATCCGTCTTGGCAAAAGGAGGCTCGGGTTGTTTAACGAAGAGTAATGCAGCCACCGGCAAGTAGAAACTGGCCCAGCAAAGTTCATGCCACCCTTTCCTTCTTCGCAGTCAATCGTAAGAACTCCGTCTGTTGAAGGGATGTTGTTCGCCATAACAGTCGCAAATAGAAGAAGTGCGCAGAGTCATCCTGAAAGTCCAAACGCACCCCAGGTGATGCATCAGGCTACATTGGACAAGAGAACCGATTGAGAGTGGATGCTGGAGGACGAAGGAGAAAGGGCACAGTAGGAGTGGAGTCAACCATGAAACGAGCTGAAAGGAATTTTAAAGCTTTATAGCCCATGTAATTGAAAACTCTGGCCTTCTTACAAATGTCGTTAATCCAGCAGAAATAGTGCCAACGGATGTCAGAAATCCAGGTAGATGAGGTTCTGGCAACTCCTCTCTGACTTTGGCGAAGGAAGCCAGCTGAGGAGCAGTCTTCAGCAAAGTAGATCCCTTCCTCTGTCTTTGTGATGCTTGCTGTTCGTTTCTTGGGAGTCATTCAATGCTGCTATATTTGTAGAGATCTTTCGTACACAGTCCCTGAAGAACTGTAGCTGGATCTCGGATCTGAACCTGCAGCCGGCAACAAATGTCATCAACAGATACTTGTCGTCAGAGGATTTTCATCTGCTTTATAATTTCAACCAAGTTGCTGATAGTTATCGGCTATCAGTCGGTCAGCAACCTGGTTGAGCACCAGCATGTGAGTCTGTGGTTGCTGCAAATCTCCCTACTTGACGGGTGAGGAAGGCCATAGAATATCGAAATGCATCTGTTATAGGGACTGCAGGCCAGTCAAATACTCCGCCACTGAGCAGAAAACCCATGCACGGTGTCCTCCAAGCAGGAAAAAGCATCCAAAACCTGCCAGAACTTCGTTTTTCTGCCTAACTGCTGGAAAAAGAGTCGGTAAGCTGCAGGCCCATTAAGGGCTCGGGAGCCATGTTGGAAGTGCCTGCAGCACAGAACCCCAGGCTTGCTTCCTTCCTTCTACCAGGAAAAACTCCCAAACACCGACAGAGCATTTTCCATTTGCAACATTTCTCAGGCTGCCGACATCTGCATGGTTCTCCTTGTACCCTACCCTGTCTTCTGCAATGCCTGTTCTCTGCCGGCCCCTTTTCTTCACAACTCCCCTTTGGATGTCACTCGCAGAGTGTCCTCTACACGCCCGCACACAGATACCGTCTATCGTACAAGTATAAGATACAGATCACACAGTGAGTTGTGTGACACAGAAGGCATTCATTGTCCACAAACTGAAGCGCGCTTCTCGAACCTTACCTTACCCCAGTCTTCGGCATTTCCCCTATCCCGCATTGTCCTCGAATGACCTATATCATCCCCACAGCTGACAACTGCCCTCAAGACAAAACTATTCTCAGGGTATCTTGCAAAGTTGCATCACAGCCGAAAAGTGCTTCTATCATTCTGTCTTTTCTTCTTGTCTGCCAGGATGGCACTCAACCACAAGGCAATGGAGAGTCTGTGAGAGCTCCCGATCTCTATATCATCTTCGAGGCAGCATCTTACTGTAGCCAGTGCATGACACAGCTCCAGAGCAGATGGTCAATGCCACACCGCTGTTGCTGGCACAGCTCCAGAATGGATGGTCAGCCCAGCAGCAGGAGCGGCAGTGCGATGTCGGGCTAGTAATGTACAAAATGAATCTAGGACACTCTTGTGGGGTTGATCCTCATTTTGTGCATTACTAGCCCAATATTCTGTACGGGAAGCACTGCCCATTGGCGTGCTTCCCATATGACATTCAGATCTTTCACTCTTCCGGGGCTAGAAACATTTGTGGAGTTTTGCTGGAAGTGATCTCTTTTTTTTTTTAACTAAGCTATATTCTTCTGTCCAATATGCCTCACACTACCTACCTTCATGCCTATATCTATCTAAGTCCAGTTGCTAGGCCTACGGGATGGAGTTTTGCTGGAAGTGATCTCTTTTTTTTTTTAACTAAGCTATATTCTTCTGTCCAATATGCCTCACACTACCTACCTTCATGCCTATATCTATCTAAGTCCAGTTGCTAGGCCTACGGGATGCTTTCCTCCCCGATTTATTCTAGCCTACCTATCCCCTCAGGGTGGAGCCTTCCCGGTTGAGCCTAACCCATAGCACGAGTGGAGAGGGGCCAACCTTTCCCCTACCAAGTCCAGGGGGGGGAACCATCTATCTCAGGTGGCAAGCCCGAAGTGCGTTGCAGGAGGGGGGGCAAATGGATGCCGTGGGGAATCAAACCCATGACCTCCTGAATACCACTTGCGTGCTCAACCAACTGAGCTAGGCCGCAGGCCCTGTGCTGGGAGTGATCTATTCCCGTGATCTCACTCAATTGAACCTGAACATCCCCATCACTCCTAACTTCCTGAGTAGCTTGAACTCACTGCGTCCGCAAATACCTTCAGTCTTCGCAAAATGTCGGTGGTTATGCAGAATGTCTGCTACGGATCTGGCTTTCGTCCAGACCACACGTAATTTTTTTCTGCAGCAAGTGAACAAGATCCTGGGAATAGATTTATTTCCTCGTGCATTCACAGAGTTTTTCCCGAACCACTTTCTCAATTGATGCTGGTACAAAACAGTAGTTTTGCCACAAGTCTTATTCTCGGATTGATCTCGATTTGCTTCTTTAGTTCCCTGGATAAGATCCTTCTCACAATTTGTCTGCCTTTTGTTGTATTAACGCACTCCAATCCTTTCGACATTTCAAACAGTTCATCAGTCGTGAAACGGTATTCGCCTGTTAGCAGTAGTGAATGCAGATCCCAGGGCTCGACCCCTAGTTCTTACCTTACCTGTGTACGGTACCTGTGTCGACCCCGAGAGTTGAACCCGTAACCTGTGTATTCGCAACAGTTGGTAGGCTGTCGTAGGTCCGTAGGTTGTAGGGGTTCGATCTGTAGACCTCTCAAGTAGGGGTCAAGTTTGTAGCAGAGGTCGTAGCTGTAGTAGTTCTGAAGGGTCAAGGTCGTAGCTGCCACAGTCCTGAAAGGTCAAGGTCGTAGCTGCTACAGTCCTGAAAGGTCAAGGTCGTAGCTGCTACAGTGTTCGAAAGGCCAGGCCCACAGACTTCCGGCAGGTCCGGAAGTGGCCTTTCGAAGTTGTCTCACGTTTGGACAGAGGCAAGTGGGCAAGCGGTGAGTCCAACTGCGTTACGTCGGCAGTGCGACTGCATCGAGGTGGCAGTGCAAACCCCATGCAGTCAGTGGTACCAGCCCCAGTCAGTCGCAGTCCAGTCAAGCAAGTACCGTATGGGACTGTGTGCACCAAGGGTATGGGAAAGGGGCAGTCCAACGAGTTAGAGAAGTATAAATCAAGAGGCAGCGCCCAGTCATTGATTCATTCCTGCGTAAGCCATGCGGAAGCGCTGCTTGAGCGACTTGTGCAAGGTGGTCTGCAGAGTGCCCGAAGACGAAGTGGGCTGAAGGAGATAGTTAGACATAGCTAGGAGAGGGACAGCGGCGAAGAATATTAAGAAGCGTACTTTCATACAGGAATACACGGTCAAATTAGGGTACAAACTTATGCTGAAAACGAAAAATCCTGAACCCGTCATCAAAGCAAGATGGTYAAAACTATTAGGCCAAGAGGCGGATAAAATAACGAGGATCCCGTGGAAGGCATATAAGACRAYCAGACCAGTCAAAATCAGAAGCCTTCAGTGGCTAATCACTTACGCAGCGCTACCAGTCAATCAATGGTTACACATCAGGAGGAAGGAGACTGTGCCGGATAGTTCTGACCTCTGTAAAGTGTGCACAGATAATGCAGTAGAAGATATAGTACACTGCCTAATACACTGCAAGGAAGCAACACACTACTGGGCGAKAGCATCCACACTTTGGAATTCCCTCTTTATTTCTCCGTTCCCTGAGAAACCCACCCAGCTTCTCCTACTAATTGACATCCCTAAGTGGCCATGGAAAGCAGAAAAGATCTGGTACGAGCTCATCAGGAAGACCTCACTCTGGATCATATGGAAAGAGAGATGCAGCAGAACAATTGAGAATGCTTCAAACGCGCGGGAGAAAGTCTGGGCGGAGACAAAGGCTCTGATACAGGCGGAAATTCTATGCAGATGGAAGAAGATCAAGAGTTCATGGACAGACGATGAAGAGCAGCGGAAGAAGGCTAGAAGTAAGTTCATCAGGACGTGGTTGATAGGGGGGAAAATTGCCGAGCTGCGGGATGATCGGATCCGTTGGAAARAGTGGCAYAATTCCGCTTCAACAAGGTATCCGGAACAGCGAAGTACAACATCAGAACGTGGARTCCCCGAGCCAGAATCCAACTGAGACAGATCTGCTCTCGGATCAATACTTTGAGAATACAACAGGGGTTTTGGAAGCTTGAWGGTAACGTATACGAGCAGGRGGTAGAGGGGTCAACGCAAGGAGGTTCTGGACGAGCATCAGGGTAAAGGACGATGATCAGGAAAGGTACCTAAAGGAAAGACTGAGACCAGCGTTTGGAG